CCCCCCCTCTCAACTTTTTTCAATTTGATGTTCCTTCCCCTCTGTGAAGCCCGAAGTCAACTAAAGGGCTAATGATAACTATCAAAACGCCTGCCATTTGATATAAATAAATAAATACTATTCTCAGTCAATTTCCAATTCAACTCATAAGATACTTTATGGATATATTCCATGGAGTTGAATTTACACTTACCAGTAAATGATACTTTAGAAAACAGATTGGCTGAAAATTATATTACATAATAAAAAATGTACAAAGGAAATGTTTTGGTATTCATGGATCATTTCCATCTTGTAGAAAGGGATATTCAACTTTCACTATGCTTCAGGCTTTTCAGTGATCTGAAAGGAAGAAGGAAAAAACGTTTTTGTTTACACTTTTTTTCATTATACGCATTGGTCAACAAGACGACGCTCTTTAAATACCATTGAATATAAAAAAATAACAGTAGCATATCATTTCAGCAGAGAGAATGCATGTACATTTTTACTCACTGAATTTCGCGTTGGGTATCGCCGTAAATGACCTTTCGAATGATGCGTTTGAGGAAGTAGTACTTGGCAACCAGATTGATGTGTCGAATTTCCGCGTAGCGATCACAAAGCCACTTCAGCTCAGCCAGAAGGAGTTTGCTCTCCATCGTCAGCATTTCATTCTCATCCTTCATCTTCTTGATGGCATTGGCTACTTGTTCCAAGTCCATTCCTTGAATGAAACAACGACAACAATAAAAAACTTGCCCACAAAAATCGTCTAAATAGGTTAGAATTGTTTTCATTTTGTGTGTATTTGTGACAATTTTCTTAATGGAATTTTTTTTAACTTTTTTTATATCAAAATATTAAATTTTTTAAGCATACAATAACAGAAATATTGATCAATTTCATTAGTAAAATTATTGACTCAAATAACACAGTCTTAAAAATACAGAATTTCTAAAAAGTCGGTTACAAAATTTAACACAAAGTCAAATATGATTTAAGTTTATCATTTACTTCGCATAATTTCGGGCTATTTTTCTATTTCTTTCAATTAAAACACATTTATTAATAACTTTATGAAACTCAGTTAACTTTGCCGTTGTTTGATTTACGTTAACGCATTTCCGTTTTTCGTAAGAAGTTAGAAATTAAAAGCGATATAGCGCTTAAAATTAAATAACCAAAATCTCATAAGTTCTTAAGTACCAAATAAATTAAGACGATAGTTTATTACAGCAGAAATTTGTGAGCAACATATGTACTAATGCAAATCGGAATTTTACCATTCATATTAAAGTATTAAATTCATTTCAGATTGATTTAATAGATATTTTATTGAACTTTGTGCTGTTAAATAGCAAATTCTCTTTTAATCAATAAAAGAATTAAGCAATAACAAACATGCTGTGTATTTGACTTAAAACCCTACGATTTGATGCCAATTAAAAACTTAAATATTTTTTAAACACTTACATTTTTAACTATTAATTAAATGAAGAAATTAGTTCGTACTTTCAAACGCTTCCTCTTTCTGTCTGAGAGCTTCAGCTTCTTTAGCTTGACTACTGATGACAGATCCCCTTTGAAGGGATCTTTGGAAACTCAGATCCGATTCTGACCCTTGCATGTCGCTAGAATAGTACAAAGCAATATCCTTTCCCAGGCTTGAATGCACCGAACAAACTTGAAGGAACATGTGAGTTCTGCGAACACAGGATTTCAATTTATAAAAACGATCAAGCATGTGTGTGTTCTTTGAATTTTCGTAGACGTTTTCCATATGTTCGACGATCTTGACGATTTCTCGAAATTCGTTCACAAGTTGAACATGTCGATCCCATGTATCAAAGTATTCTTGTTGTAAAGCCTCTTTCCGCTTAATACCAAGAAGACTAGATAGCTGAACAAACTTTGTTGCGAAGAGATCTGAACTTTCCTTTGGCTTGTGAAGAGGAGAAATTGGGGGTGAGATGGAAGTAAGAAATTCTGAAGGTGGCGAAGCGCTGCCCTCATAAGTGTGTCTTCGAATGCTTTTCCCACTTGGAGTTACTGACTGACGGCGGGAAGTGTACTCAAATTTATTAGAGAAGTGACGACCTGTTGACTTTGAGAACATATGGAGTGTAATGTCCGGGCAAAGAGTGCTGAACAGCTGATACACTTGGAAAATTTATACGCGCGAGGGAAATTACGTCATTGGCTAAATGTATTTGCACGTAATTGGTCTACAGAAGAATGAACTTATAAGAGAAAATTGCAGGCGTTTGATTTGCAAACGGGAAGGTATGATTAGTAACTTGATTTTAAATTAATGAAATATCCAAATATTAAAAAAGAACACGTAGTTGTGTGTGTCAATATATGTATTCCTGAATTAATTTTAAAATCCCTCCAGATAGACATAAAGTGTTTAAGATTAGTCACTACATTAACAAAAATAAACTAACTTTCAATTAGAGTCAAAGATTTTAATAGAACAGCCAACATTACTCATTTTCATCTACATTTCACAATTAAATATACGTTTTCTTACTTAAAAGATATTAATTGAGAGCTTTAAAGGCAAAAAATTCAAAATATTTATACATACTCTTAGTTCCCGCTATAAATTACGCTACTGAGTGTCACCTTCGCGAAGATGAATTGTCTTAATAGTACGAACATCTAGTTGTGAGATCTGAAGTTTGGAACGTTGTCTACACTTCGAGGAGGCATTATGCACACATTGTAAGCTTTAATTTCTTGAAGGGTTAAGAGAAGTATCATTTTCAAACACGGCTTTAAAGAGACCTAGTTGGGTTAAAGGTTAAATGCATTAACTTGAACATTTTTGCACGCTTTTCTCCTCTTCAATTTGTGAATGCTCAGTGGCTTCAGGTCCACGATGATTAGTGATTATTGATTGATCGTCTCCAACCCCGCTTCCCTCCCCCCGATGATCGATAACAATTAAATTGCGCTGGCCAGATAATTTCTGACATTGCGAAGTCAACATACGTTTAAATTTTAGCCTAATTTACAACCGTTTATTTTACTATCTTTTGTCAATACCAAACCTCATTTATAAATAGCCCATTTTGGATGGTTGATTTCAAATCTATCGTTCTACTTCTATTAATTATTGATCAAATGTGGTGAATGTTTGTGGTAAATAATTTGAAGTGCACTGGAAACATTCACTGGACCTTCCGTGAACTTTCTCAAGAATCTCCTTTAGAGCATTTGTGATTAGCTCCAGACAAATTTCAGTCACAATAAAAGACATTTGGATTTCAAAAAACAGAACTGCTCATCTAAGTCTGCAATAATAATCCTTAAAAAAAGCTTGGAATACGTAGTTGAGAGGTACACAGGATTTTCAATTCGGGCACTCATTTAACAATTGAGTGCACTTAAATCCTATTTGGACAGGGAGATTTGTGGCTTAAGAAATGTTTAAGGCGGTTTGATAAATAGTGAAGAGAGGTTTGATCATTGCAATTTGGACTCGAAGAATATCTTTCGAGACGCATTTAATAAGGACTCTTCTTTTTCATGACTTAAAGCAAGTAGTAATTGGAATATTGGTGTCATTACTGATTAAAAGTATATCAGAAAGATTGTTCAACTGTACAAATACTTTCTTGACATTTTGAATGTGTTTATTTCTTGCTTTCCGGGGTGTGCGATAGACTTACCTCCATGTGGTGCACCTTGGGCAATGTACACTCAAACGGCAAAAAAGCCTATTAACTGGCAGTTGACACCTGTCTTCAAACTTCCATAACCCCACTGTATGTGATATTCGACCCCTTTCACAGTACTCATCTTACCCTTTCTGAGCCTTTGTGTCTGTCTGTCTGTCTGTCTTTTACATCCGTGAATCGCTCTTCTTTTCTTCTGTCGAATTTTTCTCACTTTAATGTTCCTCCCTTCTGTGAAGCCCAAAGTCAACTAAAGGGCTAATGATAACTATCACAATGCCTGCCATTTGAAATAAATAAATAAATTTTATGCTTTCCAACGAAATGTGAGGGGAACTATTCCATGAGGTACCTTAAATAATACATCAAAGGTAAAACTTTCTTAATTGGAGATGATTGGCTGGGCCAAGTCTGGCGTTATTATCGTTCCGCTTTTATCCAT